GTAAGACTTTATGTAATTATTCACCAGAAGATAGATTTAAAGCGTTCGAGTACACACAGATGTCCCTTTTATTGAGAGTCCGAGCTTTTATTTGTTGAACAAACAAGAAAAAAACTATCACAAGATTGTTTGGATTGCTGAGATCGAAGCTTCAAAAATAGCTGCGGACAGCAAAGGAAACGCTTTCATCGTGGAAAAAATGATAAAAAAATTGTTATGCTTTTTGCTATTATCATTGTTATTGAAGCATTTTGGCATTACTAAGCATTGAAATTATTGACCCATTGGCAGCTTGTCGTGTAGATAGTATTTCTTAAGGTTCAATTTCACGCCACACATAATCTGGACATTTAGACATGGCTGCCATTTGGCCGTTTACAAACTAAAGATGGAAGGTAAAATAAAGTATTTCCATTCTAAGACTTTCTTAGGTTAGGTTTAACAGACGCTGTTAAGTCTAAAATTAACATTTAGAGACGAAAAATAGTGAATTATCATGACACAGAATGCTACAGTAAAAAAAAATCAAGACGATGAGGGTACATAAACGCATGCGGTACAACTACTTTCACACTATTCAGCTTTTTTAAAAGAGAGCTCATGTATGGAACTTGAGTCAATGCAAATCATTTGTGTCATATGAGACTTGTGACAAAGCCTGAAAGAGATAGGGCAAAGCACAGATATAAGCTCATTGATTGTATGCAAGTTTAATAACATATTCGATCGAGGTACCCGGTAAAATGACAAAAAAACGAAGGTTTACAATCCATATTACATCTACCGTTCAAAAAATCTTGAGGACATGTACAGGTAAGCAAACGATTGAAGGAGTACCTGTCTTAGAGTCCCTGTCGACTATTTTCCACTACACTACAGTAGTTTGTTTACAGCACCAGCCGTGGATCTTGTCAGCTCGCCATACTACTCTAGGTGCGCTGCAAGTAATCTCTAATACCGTGGAGACTGCTCTTCTCCAAACATTTTAGTTAAATTTTTGAGACGGAGAAGCTCCAGTTGAATGAATTAGTATAATTTGTTTTCCTTAGAGTCCATGAAATGTCCTGCTTGACTTTCTGTTTTTGCTCTCCTCCGTTTTTTGTTGTTTTCTCAGACTGTAAGCCATTGTGGATATCCCAGAGTACTCCGCGTTGAGGGAAGCAATAGTGAAACTGACCGGGGAGGGGATGGGGAAAATTGTAAATAACCGGCCCAAAGGGATTAAGTTAAGGTCGAAACCAACCAATTCAACTTTTAAAAACGCGTGGTAACCCCTACTTTTTATCTTACCAAATGTCGTTTACACTATTTTTGAGGCAAACGCGTCGAGAGGGGTAACTGCTGATAACTTCCCACTGGTGCTGATGTTTCAAAAAAAAAGACGTATAAAGAGCAGTTGTTATGTTATCATTTGTTGCTTATTTTGAAACCTTGTTGCAATTATCATTGCATTTGAGCCAGTTCACGTGTACACTCTGAAATTTTGGAAAAAATAACTTTTTATCTTTTTTCTAAAAGACTCCTATTCAGCGTTTTTCTCCATATTGAAGCGCAATTATCTCTGAAAAATGCGTGGTTACCCCCAGTTTTCTTTTTGGATTTCAATAGCCCCTGATATGACCTAATTGTCTCACATAGTCATTATCTGGGAAAAAATACTTCCCATTAGTGGGCACCGTCCTTAAGTTGTTTTCTTATTTCTCTATAAAAGGGAGGGTGTTATAATATTGTAATTTTCACGCCCTGTGTTGAATTTCATTTGCACGTGCTGCTAGACTCATTATATATTCAGTTTCGTTTGTACCTTCGGGGCACTTGATAGAGATTAAATGTCTGTTCAGTAACCGCTTGAACGTGTGGCTCGCTGTGTTATTACAAGCAACACGAGCAGTCGAAAGCATTTCGTCCCCTGAACGTTTCCCTTGGATTCTGGGATAGCTTTCGAAGGTATTTAGCTTATTTATAGTATTCTGCTTATATTTTCCTGACCTAAAAGGGTTGTAAAGGCTAGGTGTGTGTACAGTTAGGATATTTTTAATTCAACGACTTAATTTTTTGGAAATTTCAATATTGGAAATTCCTTTCTAGTACAAATTTACTACATTTATAATTAATGCACAATATAGAAAGTTTTTAAAACTCTTTTCTAAACTCCCTTTACCGTAATTTTATTTTTCAGTTGTTTTTTCCAAAAAACCTTTTTTCTTGGCAATGTCAAATATCTTAAAGGCAAATATATGATGCACGCCAGTTATGTAGGAAAAATTGTAGCCGTTGCGGGTCTGTCTCAAATGAATCATGAAAAACTTCAATTGAAAGTTGTTGCCACGTCAATAATGGAGACATCAAAAACATTTCGAAAATCCGTAGTGGAGCATTTTGTTTCTCCTTACTTGATCTCTGTTATTTAAAATTATTTCCAAAATTACCCGGTTCAGGGCTCCTGCCCGGTCCCTATCTTTCCGGGTTGGAACATTTATATGGAAATCATTAAGGATGTTTCGAGACTTACTAACCGTCGTCAAAAGGTGGCAATTGTTTTATATGGCTACAGACTAAAGACCAATGAGAGTGTTATTTCGTTTTCAGTGAG